ATGGTATGGTAGACGGAATGAATAGGACAGTTGGCGAGTATTTGACAAAGATGGTGTCCGATCATCAGCGAGACTGGGACCAATATCTTCCGTTCTTCACAATGGCCTACAGATCTGCTGTTAACGACTCGACAGGCCAGACACCAACCAGAGTCATATTCGGAGTCGAGATGCGACTACCTTGTGATCTAGAGTTTGAGTGTCGACCTGGAGAAGATATAGCAGGTGAAGATTATGTGATCGAATTACGAAGAAGAATGGACGATGTACACGAGTTGGTCCGTTCCCATCTCCAGATTGCTAGTGACCGATTGAAGAAACGGTACGATACGCAAGCCAAAAAGGGGTCTTTTTAAGAAGAACGACAAAGTCTGGCTCTATAATTCCAAAAAGCGAAAAGGTTGTTCTCCCAAGTTGCAGCAGTTTTGGGAAGGTCCATACCTCATTATGGAGAAGATCAATGATGTCATTTACCGAATAAGCAAGATTCCGAGGGGAAAGCCGATGATAGTACACCATAACCGGCTGGCGTCGGTGAAAACCCGTAACTGTCTACTGCTGTATAGCATTTGGTCACGAAGTCTTCTTCTTATCGTTTCAACTGAAACACTTATACGTGTACCATCCAAAAGCTGCTTTTGGAGTTTTGGGTGAAAAAGTGTTGAGTCTCTTCTCTCTTCTCTGGACAATAAAACGATTGTGGCAAGCCGTTGTTACTTTTTGGCGAAGTTACCTTTATCTGTTCTTAAGTGTTCCTTCCTGTAACTCTTGATATGTAGTATAGGTTTTTAACACAACGACCTGTGTTATACCTACCACGGCCGCTATGTCCCTCTGAAACATTCCTTGCTCTATAAGACCAATAATCTTTCCCTTTTGCATATTCATTAACCCCACATAAGGCATATTTTCGTTTTTAAAAGCGAAAGTTACTTCATTTATTTTCGTTCAATTTACAACTAAAGCAAATAATCTATACCTTACCTGGCTGTGTAATCTTATTGTTTTATTGGCTTGTTTATTTTTAATAAAAACCTTTATTCTTGGCAACAACGACAAGTTTTTTCAAAAGAAATAAATATTGGTTTGAAATACATGTTGATTCCATATAAGTTTGGTTGTGTGTATATCTGATAATTCAAACCTTTCACTGAAAAATCAATGTAACTGTTTTTACGTATTTTTAGAGCTTTTCTACTAATTATTTATATCTTAAAACCGAAAAACGCATGTTATTCAATTCACATCCATACCAGACAAAAACAGTTGTTGACTGTTGACCTAAAAATTATTAGGAAACGAATTGAAGTCGTAAAATATTTAAAAATACTTTGGGTTTGTGTTATGACGAATGCCTCTACTGGAAGAAACACTGTAAAGGATTAATTTGGAGTATGAACTCAGTGTGCACTTGTTTCTGAATCTGCGAAATATACTATTTGGGGATCAGCTGATTATGTTGCTTCGTATTCAGACAGTGTCTTGAGATATAGGATAGTATTTTGGGGAATGTCTTCCAAATTTAATGAAGTTCACAACATAAATCTTCTTCTTCTTAGCCCTCTGTCGTCCATGTTTGGACATAGGCCTCTCCCAACTCCTTCCATCAGTCTCTATCCTGAGCAACACATTTCCAATTTGTTCCGGCTATTCTTTTAATGCCATCAACCCATCTCATCTGTGGTCTTCCTCTTGGTCGTTTACTTTCGTAAGGTCTCCAATGTTGTATTGTAGTATTCCAACGTTGGTCTTTCTGTCTAGCAGTGTGGCCCGCGAAGCTCCATTTAAGTTTTGCAATTTTTATTGTTATGTCCTCGACTTTTGTTTTGGATCTTACCCAGTCGTTCCTCTTTTTATCTGACACTCGTATACCTAACATTGCTCTTTCCATTGTTCTTTCTGTTGTGACTAGTTTATTCATGTTTGCCTTGGTTAGGGTCCAGGTTTGACATCCATATGTCATGATAGGAAGGATGCATTGATTGAACACTTTACTCCTCAAGTATTGTTGTATTTTGCGGTTCTTAAGAATCCAACTAAGTTTTCCAAATCCTGCCCATGCTAGTCTTGCTCTTCTAGTAATTTCCGCACTTTGGTTCTCTTTTTCAGTCTCAGGATTTGGCCTAGGTTGATATATTCCTGGATTTGTTCTATCTCACTGCCGTTTATAGTTAAATGTCTGGGGTCTTCTGTGTTTGTCATTATTTTTGTTTTTTTCATATTGATTTTTAGGCCGACGTATTGGGAGCTGGCTGCTAGTTCCCCCAACATAATTTGCAGTTCCTCGAATGTGCTCGCTATAATCACTATGTCGTCAGCGAATCTGAGGTGGTTTAACTTGTTGCCATTAACGTTAATGCCATAGGTTGACCAATTTGTAGTTTTGAAGACGTCTTCTAGGGCTAGGTTGAAAAGCTTTGGCGATATTACGTCTCCTTGTCTCACTCCTCTCTTTAATAGTTGCATTTTCATATATATTATGTATTAGTTGCCTATATCTCGAGTCTATTCTACAATTATTAATAGCTTGTTCTATGGCCCACATCTCGATACTATCAAACGCCTTTTCATAGACGACGAAGGCAAGAAATACGGGTAGTTGGTATTCATTTGCCTTCTCTATCAATGTTCTTATTGTCAGCAGATGGTCTGATGTACTATATCCTTTGCGGAAGCCAGCCTGTTCAACCGGTTATTAATAATTCTCATAAATAGTTTGTATATTTGACTGAGCAACGATATAGGTATATAATTCTGTAGATCACATTTGTCCCCTTTTTTGTGTAAGAGTATTACTAGACTCTCGTTCCAGTCTTTAGGGATCTGGCTATTATGGAGACATCTATTAAATAGCTCTGTTAGTACAGGGATTGTTAATGTCTTGCTTGTTTTCAAGAGCTCGGCAATTATACCGTCGTGTCCTGGAGCTTTATTATTTTTTAGTTCTTTTAAAGCTCTTTCTATTTCGTATCCCTTTATATTTGGTAGTACTTCTGATCCACGTTTTTTTATTTTTCTTTTGACGTTCTCCTTTGTTGTTTCATTAGGCTGGCCTTGCGAGCTGTACAAGGATGTGTAGAAGTCTTCGACAATATTTGTTATTTTATATTTGTCCTTCTCTACCTTATTGTTAGCGTCTTTAATTTTGATGATTTGAACATTAATACATCGCCTTATAAACAATGTGTTCTGGGAAAGGCCAGATGGAAGAAGGTTGTAGGGCGGCCTAGAAAAAGGTGGAAAGATGCAGTCAGAGAAGATCTAGAGAAGATGGGAGTGCGACAATGGGAATTACTGGCACAGAACCGACAAACATGGAAGCAATAGTAAACGCGGCAAAGACTCACGAAGAGTTGTAGCGCCATTGATGATGATGACGATGACACACAGTATATATGAATTATTGTCAGGAAAAATGCTACATATTCTAAAGCTAAGCTATAAGCCTCAAATAGTTTAGATCTCGAACTGGGTGGAATGTAAACACTACCAATACATTTCTCTTTCTTCTTTTCTTCTTCTTCCTATTGGGAAACTGGTTCTTGCCGTCTTTACTACTCTATTTGTTGTCATTCGGCTTATATGATCGTTCCATTTTACTCTTCTGTTGCTTACAATGTTCTTGATGTTCTCCACCTTGCATCTACGTCATATATATGTAATTCTAGTTCTGTCACATAGTGTCTTCCCATCAGTTTTTCTAACTGTTTTCATCTCTGCTGTTTGCATTGTTGGTCTGATGACTGATTTGTACCTTTCATTTCTTTCTCGGTATTTTTATTTCTCCATATTGTTTCATTCAGGCAGCCTGCGTCTCTGTTTGCTCTATTCACTTGATCTTCCACTTCAGTTTCGAGCTTTTCGTAGCTAGATAATGTGATGCCTATATATTTAAACTCCATCACTTATTCTATTATCTGAACTTCCGAGTAAAATGTACATCTTAGTAAATTTGCTGTGGTAACCATGCATTTGGCTTTTTTGGAGAAATTAACATGTTAAATTTTCTGGCGGTTATATTAAATTGGTGTAGTATACGTCCTTTTTCAGTTCCTACTTTTTTTTATTATTTCACCCATATTCAAGTTGAACAATAGAGGACTCAGGGAATCTCCCTGTCTTATCCTAGTGCAGGCTTCAATAGGGTCGGTAAGTTCTTCTTCCAGTTTTACTCTTATTGTGTTGTTTTGGTTAATATTTTCGATCGTTTTGATTATTCCTAGAGGTATCTCTCTTGCGTACAATAAGCGGATAACGTCATTCAATTTGACCCAGTCAAATGCCTTCTTAATGTCACGAAACATAGGTTTGCCGGTTTGTTGCATTCTAATGATTTCTCTTGCACTTGCCTCATTATAAATGTACCGTCGAATACAACATTTATTCTTTATAATTACAAATAGTTGTTCACAATCAATATCACCTTCAGGAATATTAATTTGTGATGAGAGAAAGCAGTTTTTCACAGTAGTAATAATGCCACCACCACGTGTTTTGAAAGTAGCAATAGAGCCTCTATGTTTCCTAAATATGAAATAACCATACAAGCCAATTTAGCATCAACAATTTCCTGGCAGAGCCAAGTCTTCACCAAGATGATTACATTATATCCATTACAAGAAGCATTATTGTAAAGTCCAATTTTGCTCAAAATCGCGAACATTTTACTAATATACATAAAGCTACTTATATGATGTAAAAAAATATGTTTATAATATATGCAACAGATCTCTTATTGAATTGTTAATAAACTTCATAACCATGCTTGATGAAGATGGTGGATTCAACACAGTATCAAAGTTGCTCTCACGAACCGCAACTATGAAAGAACTGTAATAATCATTGGAAGTCAGTTGCTTTACCAGAATTTCATGAATTTTAAGATTGTTTTTCCTAATTATATACGCTTTAACATTCTTAGAGGTATAAAACATGGAGAAATATTATTAACATGCAAAAATATCATTCTTTCTACTCTAATAAAATCAATATTGGTATAGGAATCAACCATGTTTGCATGTCTATTATTTAATTTAGACGAATTCCTTCTGAAGCTGAAATTAGTGTTTATGTTGCTAGCATGTCCAGTATTAGACAAATTACAATACATTGAAGCAGCAGTTGTAGCATTGCCCCCTGCTGTAATTGAAATGGAAGGATTTTGTGTAATGATATTATTTTCAGCAGTAGTTGTATGAGTAGCATTAGTAGCAAAACCCTTCAGATTGTCTTTCTGTACATTTACGCTTAGTAGATCTTTACCTCCAGTTTTGACCATGTTATTATGATGCTTAGTTGTTAATCCATCAGTGGCATCAATGGGTTCTGTCTTTAACAAGAGGAAAATTAGTAAGCATATGTATTAGCTGTATATTGCTCTTAACATAATCATGATCACCTAAAGAATTACACTTTTAATAGTGTTCAATTTCTCTGAATGAACACAAACAAAAAGAATCACGCTGAGAAGCAAGTTAATCTTTAATAGAAGAATCAACGTTAGCTTCCAACTTTCCAAAATTTCTTAAATAAATTATCAATAATGTTCCACAGTAGCATTTTCACTATTGCACCGATAGATAATCTAGAAATAGGAACGGCTGCTTTTTCTAAAACAACAGTACAATCCTCTGTACTGTTCACTTTCCAAAAATCCGAAATATTAAGATTTTCAGAAACTATAAGGAAATAAATTTATTTGCATTGAAATTTGGCAACATTACTATATATTTGGTCCAGCTTCACTCCAGCCCAGCTATCATCTCTTTCAGTTAATATTATCTAGTTGTTACGGCGTGTATTGTTCAAAGCTTAACAGGTGCATCCAGTTTTAAGAGTTTTTTAAAAAAATTGTTAAGGAAGGCTTTTCACGAGGTGAGTTATCTTGGCTAATAGTATTATGTATCTGAGTATATTAATGTTTTATGGTGATTTAGTGGAGTACATCTTACATTGGTCGCGTTCACCAGATGCAAACGTTGGCAATCAGTTTCCGCTTTATTCTTCTGAACGGCATTCTGAGTGTTGCTAACGTCAAACGTGTTTGGAAAGCGATCGCCATTTTTGCAAGCATAAAATATTTACGTTGAATTTTCTGAACTTGTTGACTATAGCAAAAATATGGCGGGAATGGAAATTATATAAAATATAGAATATATTTATAATGGTTTTGTATATAAAATAACTACTACCGAAGACATTCATAAAATATTGGATGGTTAGGTTAGGTTAGCTATGTTATCATCGATTTTATTTTTTTATTATTAAAAAAATAATTATTAAAATATATTTATTATTATTAAAAAAAAAATAATTCAAAAACTGAGAATATTTATTTTAGGTTAGGTTCAACCAAGCAAAATGTCAAATCTCAACCTCCACAACAAACCGTTCAGCTCGTTGTCAACAAGTTTAAGAATAAAAGCGCAAACAGTTGTGAACATGTTTGCATCTGGTGTAATCTGGTGAACGCAGTTATTATTAGTGGTTTTAATAGTAAAGTTACGCATTTTTGGCGGTAAATTTGAGTAGCCAAGCATTGCATCTTAAATGTGTCCGTGTTATACTGATTGGTCTAAAAAATATTTATTATAATTTAGGCTTTTTTTAGGCCAGTTTGGTCCAAAGTAAGATATTTCAAGCATTTTTTCTTATGTTTTAAAGCAATAACCAGTGGTTGGCCGACTGCCAATCATTAAACCACAGGGTGGCCAATAACTGTAATGTGTAATGAGAATATAATGTTTATCCGAATTCGTATTTATAAAATTACAATTATTTTAGTTGTTAGAAAATTAGTGCTAATGTGGATATATGAAATCAAATTTAAAACGTCCGTATTGTCTTCTTCTTCTTCTTTTTCTTCTTCAGCCTTAAGTACTCCAACTTTGGACATAAGCCTCCCCAAATCAATCCAGTGTTTTCTATTTTGCGCCACTTGCTTCCAGTTGTGTCCTCCGCTATTCTTAATGGCATCAGTAGACTTTGTCCCAATCGTATTTTTTGTTTGGATGAAGAGAATCGTTTAAAGCATTGGATCATAACACGCCAAGACAAAGGTTTTCCGTAGGAGTGTTCTAGTAGGAGTGTTCACCGGTGTTCAAGAATACTTGCATTGTAAAGGTTACATTGATATTATAGTCCTTTTCCATCATATTGATAGCACATTATGTATGCAAATCCTCAACAGGTGAAAAAACCATAGGCGCCACCATATACTTGTTTTGAAATAAATAAAAAAAATTAATATTTTAAGATGCCGTCAATAATTCATTATCTTTTAAAAAATCTTCTGTAAAATAAGTGTCCACTAATCTCACTATACCTTTTTTATGCGTAAAAGACGTCGGTATATATGTCACACGATTATTGTTAATTATAGACGGGTGATTAACGAGAGAATTTAATGTTTCACGAAATAAATTAATGTTAACAGTAATTTAAAGGTCATTATTGTTTTCTATACAAGTTATCGCCTGACACAAAAAGAATACTTTCTTTGAACGATTACCTGGAATTACTAAGAAGGCTTCACTAATGATAGTTTAAGTAGTTTTAATGCCACATTACAGCTTATGCCAATAATATAAATTAGAAATTGTTTGCATCTTCCATTTAGTTTGTAGATGTACATTGTTCATGTCTTACCTACATACGTTTTGGTGTCGATATTTTGTTATTTGCATTTAAAAATGACGTCGACAACAGGTTTAATCCCGGTTTAGTGTAGTTTTAAAGGTGCCTTCAGTCTAAGAGAGAAAAATATAATATTAAATGTACACGATGCACTTGTACATCAACGCCCTTTAAGTAATATTTTTTGTTTATATTTAAGATTCTTCACGTGTTTGTGTTTTAAATGGAGATGAAACCTGCTTCCTATTGTGTCCCAAAAATAAACGAGTCTTGGCTGTAAAGGAAAGCAAAAATGTATATCAAATAGAGCATCACTCTCAAAGGTAATTTGACGATTATGTTTACCTTTGCGGCATCTGAAGAAATAACAGCACCGATGATTATTTACCCTTATAAACGAATTCCTAGCAATTTTTTAAATTCCGTTCCACGAGAATGGGACATAGGAGGAGGATGTACCGATACACGATGAATGAAGAATAAAAACTTCTATGAATAGATAGAAAACGTTTTAATAAGTACCTAATTGCGAAAAAACAATATTTTTCATTTTCAGTCATTTTTTCGTTGAAGAACATACAACTACTTTACCATTCAAACCAGTAAATTATGTTTAAAATTACAAATTATTTTAGGGGCATTATATCCCAATGTAACCAGAATTATACAACCTGCAGATATTGCTGCATTTAAACCATTAAAGGCAAATTGGGACCAGGGAGTATTAACGCGAAAACCCGAACTCAGTAGTTACCAAAGAGAATTTTGCATTGGTACTAAACAGAGCCATTAGTCAATTAAAATCAGATTTCATAATTAATGGCTTTAAGGCATTTGGATTGTATCCATGGAACCCTGAAGCAATAGACTATTCCAAATGTTTAGGAGAGATCAAAGACCCGAATAAGAGAATTAATCACACTATTTCTATGGCAGAATTAATAACATTAGAATTTCAAAGTTTGGAAGAACTATAAGGGAGATTAAAAATTGCTCTTTAATATATTGAATTTATTTTAAAATACCGTAGATCTACCCACGATTCACAAATAATATACAAGATATCTCTATCATCACAGAAACCCATATATATATATATATATATATATATATATATATATATATATATATATATATATTCAGGTACAGTATTGCCCAAAATAAACAGTACTGAAACTGAAACATATATTTTTCTTTATGCGCGTTCTCATATTCAAATTAAGTAGTATAGACCTGCCAAGTAATCCTTAAACAATTAATTATTGAGGCCTAATTGTTAAAAATAGTGTTAAGTACAGAGGAGAAAGTGTTTCTTGTGGCGTATTATTTTCGCTCATACGGAATCGGCCGACGTAATAATGCAAGTCTGCAATACGTGTGTGATCAATTCACAAAACGGTTTAATAAACGTTTCTACAAGTACTTAATGCTGTAATTTTGAAGGTTGTTGAAAAGTTTAGAAATACGGGTAATGTATTGTGCCAACGAAAAGGAAATTCAGGGCGTCCCAGGACAGTTAACAACAACATAACCATGAGCGTATTTTTGAGCGAATCTTGAAAAATCCGAAAGCCAGCCAGACAAGAACGGCGTTGCATCTTGGCTTAAAACGAACTTTCTTGCAAAGAATTCTGAAGGAGCTGGGTGCATTTTCGTATGTGATTCAGGTACATCAACAATTACATCTCAGGGATTATCACAGAAGAGTGGAATATTGTGGCAAAACTCTTGCATTACAGTATGAAAATCCTGAATTAAAAAAAATGTATGGTTTTCAGACGAAGATTTGTCAGGTCATCTAAATCGTCATTCTGGACTTTGCCAGACCAGATGAAGTTTAAGAAGTTCCTTTAGATAGCGCAAAAGTGAGTGTCTGGTGTGCAGTTTCGAGACACGGAATCATTGGTCCATACTTTATCGAAGAAAATGGTAGATTTAATCAATCAATCAATTAAGTCACACTTAATCAACAGAGGTACATACAAATTTTAACACGCTTTATCCCTTATCTACGTCAATTTTGTCGTGCACGTACTTTGGCATTTCGAGACCAATTTTTTCACTAGGATTGTATCAACTTACCATGCTGCTATCGCAGTTCAGCAATTTCTTCAGGATTTTCCAAACAAAGTCATTTCACGATTTACTGACTTCCCCTGTCCTGCACATTCTCCAGACTTAACATCTCCAGACGCATACATTTGGGCATGGCTAAAACTGCCATTTCTAAACGGCATATAAGCTCTAAAGCATGCCGTTAGAGCCTTCTTCGCGGACTTGAGACAATCTTTATTCCATAACCTTAAGAGAAATCTGGAATATCGGTATGAAGTCTGTCTTGAGAGAGGAGGAGCTCATTTCCGAACATATTATTAAGTGTCAGTAATATGTATTCTTTAAAACAATAAAATAATTACAAGTTCAGTACTGTTTATTTTGGTCTATACTGTATTACACTTAACCCTGTAGATGGCAATGAAATCATATGCAACTTACAAGATATTCCTGTTATTATAGAAGAAAATCTACTTTCGGATTTTCGAGTGTAACTTCCAGAAAACGGTGATATTACACATAATATAAAAGGTGTCACAGAGGATGCAATGATTTTAGAATATTTAATCGCCATCCAATAATCTACCTTTAGTTAATCAAGTTAACTCATTATCTAAATAAATTGACACCTCAATCGACAAATTATTTTTTTGATCAACAGAAAGAAGGGGCAAAAAGCAAACAGAAAGGTTGGCCTTTCATGCTCACTTCTTCAGATCGTCAAAATGCAGAGAGACGTAAAGTTGAAGAAAAAGCAGAACAAGAAAAAATAAAATTATAACAAAAACAAAGTAAATTGACGTAAAAGCAAACAATAAAGCTCAAAAAACGAGGAAAATAAGATGAAAGTAATAAAAAAAAATTGCGGGAGCCGATTCCCGGAGTAAAAAATGTCAGATTGTTGTAAAGAATAAGGAAAATGTTACAGTAAATACAGCTGATATCGCAGATATAAATATTTTAAAATTAAACACACTTATTAATCATACAATTAAAAGCACTACTTTGAAAAGTGGAGTTAGACTACATATACCATATGTTATTGTCCTCAAAGAAAAACAAGAATTGTCACGGAACCAACTGATTCTGTACAGGAAAACGTTAATCTACCCACAATTGTAAACTTATTTTTATTTTTTGATGTCTGCAACAATATGAATTCATTAAATATGAAGAATACATCTCAAATCTAATGTACAAATTTGGAAACCAGCAAAGAAAAAGGTGCTGGTGAGTCGGCTAAAAGAAAGTAATTTTTTGAAACTGAGGGATATTCTGAACATAAAAAATACAAATTCTCTCAGATATAACGGTGAAACAATCAGACGACACCAACCCACCTGTAAATAACCTTTTGTATATTGGATTTATTATTATTGTTCCTATAAGATATTTTAAATCAAAAGTTGGAATAAAATGTCTATTTTGTGTTAGAGTTAGAGTGGTAGCCTCTACCATTGCTCTCTAGCCTCTCTATTGGTAATTGTGCAAATAATCAACAAGAAATTAAAAATTTAAATAGTTTTGTGTACCTTACTTGCACAAACAAAAAAAGAAAATTAGTAATTTTATGAATGGCCAATGACTGTAAAAAAATGCCAATAACTATGTTTGTATGACCAATCACTGTGTAGTTCTGTAAGTTTTTAAATTTGTGTTAATATTTTATATACATTATCATTTCTGATTAAAATAACCTGAGTTGTTATACAATTTTATGTTTCATTGCTATTAAAAAAACCCTTACAAAATATTTCACTTTAAAATATACCAATTTACAGTTCTAATTCAATTGGCAATTCCATAAGTGGCCAGTCACTCTACCTGTTACCCTATGTAATATTCAGCACATTCCTTACATAATTTGTTCGAAAAATACTCAAACATAACCATGGGATCATCCTTATTATCCATTTTAACACATTTAATTCAATTCATTTCGACAATTTAAATAAACTTAAACTGTCACCATTAAAAGTCAGACTTTACTTTGCTTCAACTGGCCTATTAATTCTGGCTATTAAAACTGGGCTATAAGATGTGAATGTCAATTAAATTTTTAAAATTTCCATTCAAGTATATAGTTTGTGTTACGATTTTTATATTTACACGTATTTTTCTAAAAAATTAAGAATACTGTTTGATATGTTTAAAGTTTTTTTAATAATATTTCTTTTTTGTTTAAATTACAATTTTAGTGCATAATATTTGAATAAATAATTCACTAAAATGACCCTTGAGATTATTCGCCGTCTATTAGCGTTAATTTATTTGAAGAAATGTAAATAGATTAAAAGTCGCAACCGAAAATTATAAAAAAGGGTGTTACATACTTAGAAAAACAATTGCAGTTAGCGAAAAAGGGATAGAGGGTATGCACCGGTGCTGGCGGCGAGTAGTAGGTACGCCTAAACTGAGTGCAAGGATATAAGAATATTAGAGTAAGGATCAAAGGATGAAGTCCGCTGCCGCGGTCGGCGAAAGCCCTCAGTCAGGATCTCGGGGCTTCCGCAAGTAGAGGGGATGAGAGCGCGCAAAAGTGGGGAGTAAAACAAAATAAAATCGTCTTTTGGTGCAGTTCAAGTTTCAACGGTCCGTCAGTTTCATACTGTAACTGAAAACGGTGAAAACCGAAAAGAACATTATCATTTTCCTTATGTTACGTTACTGAAAATTTCAACTATTGAAAATGGAAGGACTGTCGAGTAGCGAAGAGAACGGCACCGTTCCCGCGCCTAGTTCGAGCACTTCGGGTAGTTCAAATGTTCCGGTAGTGTTGGGAAACTGTGCTAGTGGTAGTTCAAGTGCTAGAACACACTCGCCAAAAGTGTGCGTTACGCCTGGTTCGCAGATCCTTCTTCAGAGAAATTCTCTTTCTCCCAATGTTCCCAGGAAAGTTATGAGCAAAAACAATAATAATACAAGTTAGTCATTTTATTTATAATACATAACTGACTTGATTTTTCATTAACACTTATTCCATTGAACAAAAATAACTTTTGAAATTCATCTAAATGTAGAAATAGTACAATAAAAAAATAATAAACAACAATGTGACTTACCTATTCTATGACCGATAGTTTACTAATTTCTTCCTCTCTGAAGAGGTGGTTTAATGAGTAGAAATTTAGAAAATTAATAGATTTGATTCTTTTAAATAAATTTGAGATATTTAAAAAGAATACTCAAAATCTAGAGACGATTTAGTAAATTATATGTTTGTACATATACATACCCAAGTATTTTTAAAATATTTAGAAAAGTATCCATATTCAATAGCTCCCCCTATAATTTCTCTCATTTTGCATTTGTTGTTTATTTAGTTTGACAGAATATAGTTGCATTTTTTTTACATATTTTCCTAATATTGTTCTGAAGCTATTTTTTTGTGGCATTTTAAAGTAATTACTATTTAAATGGGAATCAGCCACAATTAAAGGTTGAAGTACGTTTATTGACGTTTCAATTTCCATTTCGGAAATCTCTAATTTAAAAAAATTTCCGAAGTGCAAATTAAAACGTCAATAAACGTACATTAACCTTTAATTGTGGCTTATTCCCATTTAAATAGTAATTACGTTAATATATTTTCCTATTATATTTTGTATTATTTGCCTATTGCTTTTGTATCTGCACTAATAATAGTGTTTGTACTTTTTAGATCATCGGGATCATATATGGATAATTTTGATTTATTTCCCATCTCCTTTTTGAATTTATATTTTGTTTAATTAGTTGAAGTCATGACTCAATACTTTGTATGATCATCAATATTATTTGTCTATTTTAGTTCTCACTTAGAGAATAATTTTCTCTTTATATATCTTACGCTAGTTCCAACTTATTTCGAATATTTTAAACATTTTTTCGCACAAAATTAGATTGTGATCGATCAGTTCGCTGTTAGTTGTAGGTACTTAGACACTATTAACGCTTCTAAAAATTTTAAATAGTTACTCTATTTGTTATTACTCTAATTTTTGTTACTCTATTTGTTATCTATATGTATATTTCTTAACTATTTAACAATGCTAAGCCGCACAATTGACTTTTTCAATTAATGAATCTTTCTTGTTTATTGTCGAGATTACTTGTTGACAGTATCAATTCTTTGCTGTCTCTTTTTACTTTTAAATCACTTTTATTGCCTAATTAATCAATATTTGTGCTATTTCATTAATTTCTTCTGCATATTCGTTTCGATTTGCATTAAAAAATATAAATCTGCAAATTGCAACTGTTATAAACAATACTGATTTTTATTCATGTGTAATCTATTATATATACTCTCATGGGTTATTATTGTACAATGTGCGCTACAACATGCATCTTTTTTGTACGATGATATTTATCTGCATATTCGGTTTTCTCATGGTTTTTAATATTGCAGTATATTTTATAATAATTTCATCATTGCGATGCATTTGTTTGATGATTGGTAACATCTCATTAATTTAGACATTTTGTTGCGATCCAAGTCTTTCTAAAGATTGGTAATAAGCTTTTATGTTTAATTATGTGATAGTTCCCGTATAATCTCTAGCATTTGATCCACAATCAAGTAAGTTGTTGAAGATTATAAAATACTTATGAATAAAATATTTTAATAGCTTAATTTTATCTGTCTGTCTAATAAAGACAGTTATGTCTTCATAAAAGTTGTAGTAGAACTTTAATTCAGAATAAATAGTTCATTTTTGCGCTATCCCTAAAAATAAAAACGCTAAAGATTGGAGTGAATACAGAATAATATCATTAATAAGACATCTTCACAAAATTATTCTTGAAAAAATACGTGATCGTGTAAATAAGAAACTGGAAGAAGGAATAGCTGATAGTCAGTTTGGGTTCAGAAACTATCTAATATATGTAATAAAGAGGAATAATATATGTAATAAAGAGAAATATAATAAAAAATAAATATATGATAATAACTAGAGGGGCAAATATGCAAAAAAGTGATAAATTTGCGCATAAATATGCACTAATTTACCCAAAAATATGCATTTTCTTTTAGGCATTTTTTTTTAGAAAATATGCATACTGTCCATGGAAACATAATATATTTAATAATGGTATATTAATTCATTTTTATTTTAATAATTAGAAAACAATATAAATAAATTTATAAACTAAATTGGTAATTGTAATGTACTAATTAATTACTTGTAATGAAAGTAGTAATAAAGTAAAATAATATTCCTTAGAATTACGGAAACAATAAATGACCAAATGTTTTTCAAAATTTTCCAATAAAAGCTTATGGCTTCTATCTGTGTATATATATTTGTAAGTTGGGAAACTTCTTTTCACATCAACGGATGTACTGGAAGCATATTTTAAATTCACAAAAATATTTGGTTCTAAATATATTTCTTCGGAAAAATTACCAACAAGAACGTCAGCTACCTCAGTAAGTTTCTGAAAACTATTGTTTTTTTGAATTATTGTTTGAATTTTAAAAAAATACCTTTTTCAGAGTCACCTTTAACATTTTGAGAAACTGATCTAATTTCTTTTATTAAGGCTATGCTTTCTACCAAGGACAACTTTGATGATTCTAATTAAGCAAAAGTTTTTTGAATCAAATTAAAATTTGATTTAATGAATAGATTTACTGCAGAAGAATGTTTATGAAATTTGTTTATCATCTAGCAGAAATTGGGAATTTTCATCTGTTAAGGCGTAAATTATATTTTTTAAATCTACGAAATAGTCTAAATAGAAAAAAGCGGATTCTAACCATGTTCCCCATCGTGTTAGATCGGGTTCTGCTGGAAGTGGAATATTTGGAAGCATTTCTTTATAAAGTTGAATTCTTATAGGAGATTTGAGGAATACTTTTTTGTGCTTGATATCAAGGAGTCTACAAAACGAAACATTCTCCCGCAACTGTGCTCATTACATGTGCTAAACAAGTAACGTGTATTAAGTTAGTATAAAATATTTTTAAATTATGTCCTACCTTGACCATATATGGTGCAGTATCGAAAAAAAGCAATAATTTATGGCTAGGAACAGCTGCAGGAAGAAATTTTTTTTTCTTCTTGGACAAAACGTGATAATATTGCATAGTTGGTTTTTTCTAATGGCTTCTATAACATTAAATAGGATTTTAGTAAGATCTCATACTTAGAGCATCAATCATTAAATGAGCGATATATCTTCCTGACTAATCAGTGGTTTCGTCAACACACACGTAGAATTAATTGTCACTAATATTAGTTTTTTATATTATCTATTGCTGATAAGTACAACGAGTTGACATGGTTTTTATTAGAGTCCTTCCACTTCTAATATTCAATTTACAATATTAAAAAAAAAAGAATTTAAGTTTGTAATCGATAATTTTGAAAGCCGTATATTTGAAAAATTAATCCATGGCACAAGTCTTCATTAAAGGAATCTTGTTAGTTTTCTTCTGTAAAACTTGACCGAAAAGACTTAGAAACCGAAGTTTGATATTTTTTTCCAGATTAAGTTTTGTCTTTTTTGACTAAATGTGACGCAGTTCTGACATGTTGATCTATCTGAAGTTTCTTTTTGCATGCAATCTCTAATAGATTTTTTAATATAAATAACTACAATTATAAGCGATTTCTTTATAATCTTAAACTAAAGGCACCAATAGAAGAAACTCCATTCAAGTAACTGCAGGATTATTTCGTGGCATGATATTATATGCATTTGCCACAAACTGAACAATAAACTTTGTCCATATCCATAGATAGGTAAGGCGTAGTTCAAGTAGCGACACTAATTATTTTCGGCATTTTAAAATCAAAATAGTTAACAAATTATACAAGCTCGACTGACGATGCTTATGTGTTCACTTTCACTTTTGAGAACAAAATGATTTGCAAAAGCACAATTATATGTATACCTCACGTAATAAACTTTTAAAATACTCTTTTACTACGGGATATATTCTGTTACCTGCTACAATAATATCAAGAATATTAGGTAGTATCTATAGGTACTATCGGTAGTATTGAAGACTGAAATATTGAAATAAAATGAACATTGGAATTTCCAGTTACTTTGTCATACTTAGTCATGCGAAAATCCGCAATTCGAAATAAATTAACGATTATGCATTTTATGCAATTTTTTGCAATATTTGCATAGAATATGCAACATATGCAATATATGCATTTTGCATATTTGCCTAAGTCTAATAATAATGAAGAAAAAAGTATACAACTTACATTTGTACCGAGATGTACCGATAGAAAGGGTGGGAAAATACCTGATCATACAAAATACAAAATAATGATCAAACAACAAAAACAAGGGCCAGGATAGAAATAGCAAAAAACGGGTTTGTAAAAATAAAAACAATTCTCTACAAAAAGAAGAATTATTCATGCAAATTGTTGCTATAATTAAATAAATGTACAACTTAATTTTCGGTCAATTTCCCTTAATGGCAGTAAAATTTAAATGTTTGTTATTTCTTTCGTATTTTGCTGCCTCTGTATATAGACTTTCACGGTTGAATTTCCTGGTTTTCTCTTATAACATGTAGCAAAGACAAATGCGGAATAATCTCACGAGAATATTATCATTGGCTGTGGACATTGCCGTCGTTAGAACAAAAAATAATACCGTAAATAGATCTAACTGGTTCGTTTTTAACAAATCGATATCTGTAGTGTTCTCACATTTTATTGTATCAAATAGTGAGGGATCCGACAGATACTTAATATAAATTCACACTGGAAATAAAAAAGTTGACCTGTCAAGTACCATAAGTAGCATTAGTTTATGTTGGAACGGTAGACCTATATTTACGAGTTTCAATCAAACTTTTCAGTTAAATTGAAAAATAAATCAGGGTGAAATGGTACTACTGAGCCACCCAATTAACTTTCAATAATGATTTCGAAGGAAATCTAAGAACATTGTGCATGCGCAGCAATCA